CTGTACTAGAACTTTGTATTGTATTTGAATTGCTGAAATGAAAGGTATTGCATGAAAAGTGCTATCCTTTATTAAGAAATGAAGTTTCCTAAAACAAATCATCCTTATAAATTTGCCCATTAATGATTATAAAATCACCCTCATTTAATAGCAAAATTATCTAAAATTCTTTAGAAAAGTTAAGATGGAAGAATTTGAAGTGAAGGTATTATTACGACTATTAAAACAGAAAACATGACCGCGCAAACCTGAACCGTTCATCTCTTTTTTTCCAGATAGAGCCTGATGTAGAGCACATCACCCTTGTCATTTCACCACTGAGGTCCCTAATGCTCGACCAGGTAGAAAGGTGGAGCTCCCGAGGTGTCACGTGTGCCGCGATAATGCGAGCTGATGAAATTGATGATGCTACCAAGGAAGGTGGGAAGATTGTTCAACACATTGAACACAGAATGTGACCATAAGACAATTTTCTCTGACGGAATAAGCGGGAAACCACTCAAACCTTTTGGGAAAAATTAGCGTACACAATTAGTACAGTATAGATTTTCTGATATCTTGTTATATTTTATTGCAGAAATTACGGAAGGGAAATTTCAACTTGAATTTGCATGTGCTTGTCTGCTTCAACAACACTCACGGCGTGACGAACACACTTGCATACGCCCACAATTCTAATACGCATGCGTGAGAGCCATTCAGTTGCTACGCATTTCGCGCATGCGCGCACGCAAGCGCAAGCCTTCACACGAGCAGTCGGTTCGAGATGTTTACAATCGGAAGCACGAATTAGCGGATAATTTCCTTAAATATTTTATTCCTGGGACATATTCATTACTTCTCAACCATGAATTTGAGTGATTAGGGATACAAGGAATATGTTGACGCCAGTTGAGCTTCCTCTATAAGGTAAAAATGTGAGAAAATGCTTTAAATCAAATGTTCGCAATGACATGAAAACGTTATACCCTGGACGTCAGTCGCAATGCAATGTAGACGACGTCCAACCTGGGCTACTTCCTGGCTAGAATTGGACTTATTAGCCATCTGCGAACACACAACACCAACTAGTATGGAGATGTTGGCTGTCATCTTCGAATTTCGAAGGACGAACTATATATATATATATATATATATATATATATACGTGCAATAAATTCAGAATATGAGTTAAACAAACTTTGGCATATCTCTCTTCTGAACAGACTGTTTCGTACCATAAGGCACTCATCAGCAGAATGACGAAAAATAGAATACAAGTAGCATCTTACCTTATTTCGAATCAAGCGCGCGCACGCGTTACGCGCGTTACGTCATTGAAGTTAGTACGCGTTTACGTCACTGAAGTAAGAACACATCTGTCTATATATATATATATATAGTCTAGGTGCAGATTCAGATATTCGAAAAAAAAATTCGTCTGACATTCATTTGAAAGAAACTAACGGGCTACAATATTAGGGAGCACACCTACGAATCCATGCAACAAAACCGTCTGGCCAGGGCCTTCAAAATATCCGTTCCTTGCTCATCATTCTGTGCATGGTGTTAACTATTTTGCTGGGCGGTTCCGTCCCTTAATACCAATTGAGATCTTATTAATTATGCGCCAAGCAATTGTTATTGAAGTGATAAATCCCCACATAAAGTTTATAAGTGACAATCTCCGACATTCATACGTGGGGCGCACTAGTGATTGCCTTTCCATGTACGCTAACAATGTTTTTGAGTGACCAAAATCCCCACCCTGGGGCCGAAAAACGTGACCAAAATTTACCCCGACATCAGACCTGCTGGGGCATGCAGCGCAGGGAGGGGTGGTAATCGAGGGCCAGGGGAAACATTTTGATAGGCGCATGATGTGCTGCAGATATCCGAAAGTTAGGCTGCATTCGAATCAGTGGTCTCAGAGCTAGGTCTAGGTCTGCACCCATTGAAAACACGCGGGGACGCGCTGACAATAAACGTAGCCGTAGCCCTGGAAGCCCGTTTCGGCCGGACACGGCCTCATTCCAAAAACTGTCCTGGCGGACATTGGCGTGACTGACGTCATCAACCGTGAACGCAGGGCAGCCCCAAGTAGCAGTTGATACACTATTCATAAATACCTCAGACAGTTTAGCCATTCCTATTGGTCGAGAGCCCGTCACGTGGCCGGTATTAAACAGATGATAAAGACATGGCTAGCTGGTCTTAAACACTTTTCCAGTGTCACAATAAAATGTGGACTCCTAAAAATCCAGTGCCTCTTATCGTTTCATTGGTTGAACGTTCACAATCCTCACGTAGGCATGCGCAACACTACCAGGGAGTTAGAATTTTATAGTTCTAAATTCAAAACGCAACGCGCCAGGTGCGTTCTGCGCGACATCGCGTAGAACATGATACGCGTGCGTCAATCTCCATAAAAGGGTTGTTTTCATCTTACTCGCCAGCTGAACACTCCATTATTTTACAGGAGGGATGTTTCAAAAAGCATAAAGTGAATTTGTTGAACAAAATCGGGATGTTTTGAACGAATTATATGATTTTTTTTTACCGAAAAGGTATTTATGAATGGGAATAAATATGTACTCCGTCGGTATTTATCACTCTGTTTAATACCACTTAGAGTCTGGGTGCTGATAATTACCCTCGCCTCCGGCTTGGGTAATTATCAGCACCCAGAATCTAAGTGGTATTAAACAGAGTGATAAAAACCTCCGGAGCACACATTTATTCCCTTATTAAACCATAGACAGTTCCTTGCTCTATGATTAAACCATTGATCTCCATATACACAGACTGGATAGGACATCGCGCCGTGTTTGTGCACGAATGCGCGGCCGAACAATGGCGGCGCGTTTACTGTCAGACGGGTAAACGCGCATTGTGCTTTCACTTTGTTTACTTTGGAAAATGGATTGTTTAGTGAAATTGTTCTTACAGGAGGGAGTTCAAGCGCTCCTCCAAAACAATCTTAAAAAAAAAACCTGAACGATGAAGAGTTACCCTTCAAACAGCTTTTCCACACTTTCTTGATATACACTTTCTTATTATGCATTTTCGAAATTCAAGAACCCCCAATTTCCTTTTCCCTTATTTTTTTTAAAATCCCTTCCCCTCCCAAAATGATTGTTGCCATTTCATTTTTGGCACATTGGTCATTAGAGCACACTGAATTACTCCATCAACGAAATGAATAATTGTATTAATAATATGCTGAAATGACATCATATTTTTTAACTGAACACTCACACGAGAAATTGTATGGAGATTCATTCAAATGATTGATATATTTATTAAAAAACCTGGACATAAACCAATTACAATCTAAAAGGTAAAAAAAACCCTTAATTTTACAAAGTAATCAGTAAAAACTTCTTCCCGTCCCTAGATTGATCAGGGAATGACATCGTTTACCTCTTTGTGATATTGTGTGAAAGGAGATGAATCACAAACCAAAATAGTACTATACTAATTTTGTCAAAGAATAATTCAAGCTACGCACGGTCTTGCAATTAAATGTTAAGCTATACTTCTGAAAATAAATATAATTACTTGTAAGTGTAATGGGAATCGTTTTTGTGAGCGAATATGACGGTGTTTATGGCTATAGTTAGTAATCTTATATAACGGCGTACACAACATAATTTCAAACCGTAAAAGTACTCATTGCTTTCTTCACCATACAAACTGCCAATAATGTGACAGTCATCTTGGGAGCTTATAAAAATACTTGCATTGAACTCCACAACTTCTTTCCAAAACCAAAATCAATCAATGTTAACAGTTCCACATCGTAAAAATTGATTAAGTCAAACGCTCAGATGCTTATCACACACATGTTCCATTCAGTGGATGATACAGTCGATTCCATCCCTCCGTGAAGTTCTCCATTTTCGTCCGGCTCGGTCCTGCAGCTGGTGGTTTTTGCTATATGGCTTTGCTGAAGTTCTTTGTTTGATATGAAGGTCAATCGGCCAGTTGTGCAGTAAGTTAGCATAAACCATCTCCTCGGTTTCTCTTTATAAAGAAAAGAATAGAAACATTTCGGTAGGCGTTAAGCCAAGGCAGACATAATTCAATCAGATTTTGCATATAAAGTTATTCGAATAAACTATCTTAAACAAGTCAACTTTTGTTCATTGCCATTGCCGGGTCAATCATGCACGTTTAGGCCTATGTCTTTTAAAGAAAAATGATGCCGACCACTGAGCATGACAGGCCTAGTTCGCATGGAATTTGAACAGAATATCTCGCTAGCTACCACACAGGCCCGTCCCCTCAAACTCAGAGCGACATAATTCGCTTTGTCATTCCCATGTACATATTCCTCCGTGCCATGTTGTATAGGCCTCGTTAAAAAACAACTTACTTGCGAATAATTGTCCTATTCTTCAACGCTCCTTACTTCCCCACTCCAGCAATCTAATGCTGCGCACACCTTGACTATACTCCTCGTCGAGTTTGATCAATTTAGATCTCTGTTTCTTTAATTCTTTCAAAAACGACAAAGAAACCGAAGAAAACCCAACTTCATTTTTTAATCGTCCGTTCGAAAGTGTACACAACTCGAATGCGAAATTGTGTTCTTTACCCTTTTCAAAAAACGCGCGCGCGGACGCACGTTCGTACGCGATGTCCTATCCAGTCTGTGTATATGGAGATCAATGGATTAAACCACGGACCATGGTTTTAAACACCTCACCCATGTTTGTCAAAGAGAAAATTATGATAAAGTACTAAAGTAGGCATTACTCGATATACGCTGCGCACTCGTCCGGATCCGCTATCCCCGCCCCCCCCCTGCCTAGCAGACCTTTATAGATCAATGATGTCATCGTTACTTAACTTCGTCCCCAGGGCTTCATTATTGTCAACCTCGGTTCCAAAATTGACAGACCTGCAGCGAACGTATATAGTAGGGGTTTGTGTGCATTGATCTCCATATACACAGACTGTGTATATGGAGATCAATGGTTGTGTGTGCCGCTCGACGCGACCCATCGGAACGAGGTTGATCATATATACACAAATACATGATGAAATGATGAAGTTGAAGTAATTTTTTATCACCGCCCAGCCTGCGCCATATTGACAATTATGAGTCGTTCATCTACTCTAGTTTCGATAAATTTAGGCGACTGAATTACGAATATTATCGTGAACAATTTATAGTACGTTTTTTGGGGTACTTTCCCACAGTTGTACACATTTTAATCCCAAATGCAAGAATCAGGAGTTGATATGGAGTTTGATCTCCGTTTAGACGACGACGACGACGAGACTTTTGATTTGTTTGGGGAAGTCAAACAGAACTTGAGTTTACAAGATCACCTTGACGTTACCACGTCCATGTCTTCTTTATCAACCTCTGTACCAGGAAGTGGGATGCCAGAAGAAGATATAAACCCTGCCAACATTGGCCTTACCAATTCAAACTTTTACGAATTACGAAGCACGCCCGTTGAAAGGTAGGCAGACTGATGGGCAATGATAACCTGGACTGGAGTCATTGGGTTGTCATTTAGGGAAGTTTTTCACTTGGACCTGCAGCATTGGCAGGTCCAAAAAAAAATCGAAAATGTGCATTTTTGTCCCTGTAACACGCTAATTTCAACTGGAACTCACCCAAACCTTGCCTGGCATAACCACTACACAGGTCCTTGTTGAACAATTCAGCCTATAAATTGCAGTGAAAAAAGGAGGCATAGGCCCAACTGACAACCGTGCAGCTGTCCAGCGCAATTTGAGTCCCCAGCGCAAGTTTAAACTTGCGCGAGTGACTCCCGAAGCACGCAAATTACACCGCGCCATTTTAATTTGCGTGCGCACGTTACAACTTGCGCAAAGGCGATTGCAATTTGAGAACCTTGCAGGCGGGATTTTCATTTAAGAAAAAAAAATGTTTAAAACACAAGTACATGGAGAAATAAATTAATAAATAATGGAATAAATTAATGAACAAATAAATAAATAAAAAGGGGAATTCAATTGGCGTAAATGAAAAGGAACATTGAGATTTAGCAGTGCTTGTCGGAGAAGTTTTTTTGGGGGGCGGGGGAGGGGAGGGGACCGGGCAAGCAATCAATAAAAGCACACTACTTTACTAGCGGCGATTGCTTGGAAAGTGTACTGAGGCTGTTCAATAATGGAGACTAGCCCCACTAGTGTGGCCGCGGTATGCTGCGCTGAACCTCTGGCCACACACCGTGGTACCGCGCACTACTGAGGGCTATGGTTGTATTCTATGGTGTCCCATCTATCACTTCTGGGATGCTTAGGTGTAATGATGTTCAATTTTCCGAGATATTCTTGAATCTTTCTGGAGCCCATATGCACTCATGAAACGTCTGGTGATGGCAGCCATTTTGAATGTGGCAAGAGATGACCTCAAGCTGTGACGTCGCGTTTATGCAAATTGCTTGTCGAGCGAGGGCGCGAGTTGCAAATGCGACGACTGTTTCCTGTACCATGCATTTATCGTCTGGGGGCCACGTGCACTGATCTCTATTCAGGATCCACGGTCATCTCAAGAGGTCATCTCTTGTCACATTCAAAATGGCTGCCATCACCAGACGTTTCACGAGTGCATATGGGCTCCAGAAAGATTCAAGAATATCTCGGGAAATTGAACATCATTACACCTAAGCATCCCAGAAGTGATAGATGGGACATCATAGAATACAACCATAATGTAAGAAACGGACCGTAATTTTTATGAAAACGCCCTCAGTAGTGCGCGGTACCACGGTGTGTGGCCAGAGGTTCAGCGCAGCATACCGCGGCCACACTAGTGGGGCTAAATGGAGACCAGCTCCAAGTATTTTTTGCCTTGTTAAACTAATTAGCATTTTAATTTATTTATATTCTTAAATGTAAATAAATCAAAATTTACTAGGTGTATAGTCATTGTTAACGTAAAAAGAATGATTATGATCCCTTCAATTGTTCAAGTTTTGACGTTGTAGTAATCATTTCCATTATTTTTAAAATGCTTTAAATTACATTACATGTACTGTACAATTAAAAAAGTACTTGTTCTTAAAAAATACTCATTTAATTAATTTAGCAATTAATTAATTGGACGGTACAATAATTCATATTGTTTTCAAAAATACTTGCATAACATTTCGAGCACTGTGTACACTTCAAAAATGCATAATCATTGAAAAAAATTACTGAACGCATTAATTAATTAATTAATTGAATTTATTACTTTAACAATTATTTTATTTGCAGGCTCAATAATACATATTAATGTTTTCATGCTACGATATAAAAATGCTACGATATAAAATGGAAATTATTTGAAAAAGTAAATAAATTTATTAATGATTTAATTAATTAATTTTTTTTAATTAATTTAATTTATTAATTCGAATTAATAAATAAATATGTTGTTTATTAAATAAAAATCCTAATAAGCCGTAAACAATATGATGCAAAGTGCATAAATATTGTTCGCATTACCACCCCTTATCTCTGAACCTCACAACAGTCGACTTCATTAGCATAATACTGTTAATAAAATGTTTCAAAAAAGGCATTTAGGCATTGTCTCATGAAGCACAGAGGTGCAATTAATTGGAGAAAATCTGCTTTAAAAATGATGTTTCATTTGAGTTTACCCGGAATTTTTAATTTTTTTTAGCAGCTTTGCATGCATGGGGAAAATCTATGTAGTGCGCAAGTTTAAACTTGGGTGCACAATTTGTAGCAAGGAAATTAATGCACGCGCAAGTTTAAACTTGCGTGCGCGCAAGTTTTTACTTGCGTGGGGGACTCAAATTGCGCTCGACACAGCCATATGATACCCGGAGCTAGATTTGTGCACAAACAAACTTCGTGTACAATTAAGGGATGGCAATGCGTGGTCGATTACCATGCACAGTGCGCGAACCAGTCGCTCTTACTAGCTGGCTAGCTGGCTGCTGGCGCGTGACGTCACAGGGAAGCATAACACCCGACGACTGTTTCATGCACTAACTTACCCCTTGCATCACAGCTGCGGTACTGGAACAGCAGCCGAAGGTGGCCGGTTATCATACATTCATAGTGCAGTGTTATTTACGTTCATTTAAAAACAGGGACATTAAATAGTTAAGCCTTGTTCCATAATTAAAAAGGGGGGGGGGGGGGAGGGTGAGAGACAGAAGAGGGATATAATGATACATGAGATTCCAGAATACATGTACGCGTCCAACAGGACATACAAGCAAGCCCCCCCCAACAAACAAAAAAAAACACCCCAACAAACAAACAGTTACCAAACAATCCACACGGTCCCCTCAGAAAATGAATCATTTATCCCATAATCTCTCCCCCCGCCCCTTTATTGTCCCTGTCTTTAAATGAACGTAAAACTGCACTATGTATGATAACCGGCCAACCTCGGCTGCCGTTCCAGTACCGCTGCTGTGATGCGAGGGGTAAACCTCATAGTTAGTGCATGAAACAGTTGTTGGGTGTTACGCTTCTGTTTGAGGTCATGTGCCAGCAGCCAGCTAGCAAGAGCGACTGGTTCGCGCGCTGTGCATAGTAATTGACCGCGCATTGCCATTCCTTAATTGTACACGCAGTTTGTTTGTGCACAAATCTAGCTCCGGGCATCATCATGGCTGCACAGTTGCCGGTTATGCCTCCTTTTTTCACTGCAATTGTAGGCTGAGTCTTCATCGTGGATCGGTTTTTACTTCAAGGACCTGTGTAGTGGTTATGCCAGGCAAGGTTTGGGTGAGTCCCAGTTGAAATTAGTGTGTTACGGAGACAAAATTGCACATTTTCGAATTTTTTTGGTGGACCTGCCAATGCTGCAGGTTCAAGTGAAAAACTTCCTCTAGCCCTAAATGACAACCCAATGATAAAATTTATGGATGGGTAACTCCAGCTAGGACTCACCCAAACCTAGTCTGGCAAAACCACTACTAACTCAACTGAGTGGAGCGTTGAACTCTGGTACAGTCGTCAGGTGCGCGATTCAGCGCAATGCTGCGCCGTGCAGTTGGCAAGTGTGACTGGTATGGTGGTTTGCTGTGTGTGCATGGTAATCGCCAGCGCTTTGCAGTTTGTGCACAAATCTAGCTCCGGGCATCATCATGGCCGCACGGCTGTCGGTTATGCCTTCTTTTTTCACTGCAATTGTAGGCTGAATCTTCATCGTGGATCGTTTTTTACTTCAAGGACCTGTGAAGTGGTTATGCCAGGCTAGGTTTGGGTGAGTCCCAGTTGAAATTAGTGTGTTACAGGGACAAAATTGAACATTTTCTAATTTTTTGTGTGGACCTGCCAATGCTGCATGTCCCAGTGAAAAACTTCCTCCAGCCCTAAATGACAACCCAATGATAAAATTTAGGGCTGGGTATTAAAGTCTTGAGGAAACAAAGATTTTGGTATGGGTTAAAAGTGTGGTTTTTGAGTCAACTCCATCCCAAACTAACTCGGTCCATGTCAACTTGGTCGGAGGTCAACTCCGGTCCCAAGTCAACTCTGTCTCAAACCAACCCAGCCTCACATGTATACAGTAATCCAGGTCATATTACAATAGACCTAGACATTATCGGACCTTTATTTACGTACAGTTTTCCATAGAGACCTAATTACCTTTGACCAAGTTGAATTTGACCGATTTGACTTGACCGAGTTGACTTTGATGGAGTTGATTTGGACCGAGTTGACTTGAACCAAGTTGACTTGGACCGGGTTGACAGTATGGTTTCCTGTCTTACTACCAATATGCTCCACCCATTAACCTGATTGCTGATTTCATGAGCTGTTAAAACCTGTAGTGCGTGGGCTATAATGGGTTGCATAAAAACACTGCAAATGTCAACATTTTTTCAAAGATTTATTTACATATTGTCACAATGAAGGAATTAAAGGGAATATACATCATTTGCTTTTGTTGTAATTTTCAGAAATGGATGGAATTGGGGGGTTGGAAATATATAGCAAATATAATTACACTGACTTTTTTTAGGTTTTGGGTTCGAAAATGCTATAAAAACCAAGAAAACCAATCATTTTCCTGTAGTCTGGTTCCCTGACTCCATTTAAGAAGAAACAGAGCAGTTTACATATATTTGGGAATTGTAAGGTCAGGGAACCAGTCTAGCTGGCTTGTACCCGTTCATAGGTGTGTAATCGATTGCAAACAAGTGCGATGGTCAACTGGGGCCAGTATTTGAAAAAAGCCAGTTTTTTCCAACGCTGATCGGCCGATCAGCGTTGGAAATTGATACAAAAATACCACTTTTCTTGAAAATGACAGTATACCAGGTGCCATGATTTTACAGGATGCCTTACACTGTCATTCACTAACAGTCCAGCAAGGTATTTCAAAATGATTTGGTAGTTTTATTTTTTGATGTTTGCAAATGTTGTATTTTCCCTTTAAGCCATGAAAATAATTTTCAGAACAAAGATAATTTGGTTTCAATGAAGAAACTTATAATCAGGTATGTGTGTAATGGCCATCCTGACCAAACTCTTCAGACCCTAGCCCTACCCTTTAAAACGGAGTGATTGGTCCAACCTTTTGAAGATAAAAGATATAATGCCTCATGTATAATACAGAAGTAAATTCAAACAAATATTTCATCCAGATTTGAGTCGGTGATCTGACAAACTGTAGGACAGTTGGCCCACCTGCTATAAAAGGTGCCTGCTACTTTAACACATTTAGAATCTCCTGCTTGGTCATGTTTGTTTTGACATCCCCATTAAAAAGAGGGTTTTTAACCGTCCTTGGAAGTTTGGAGTTTACTACAGAGGTAAAACCGATGGTACTTCGGTGATGTTTTGAAGTTTTGATTCTTTTTTCTTGTGTCATGAATTAAAATGATCTCTATTTGCCAAACATGTAACATTTTTGTTAGATACATGTAAGCCACAGTTTTTAACCAATGAAAGCAATTGAAATTACATAGAATAATTTAGATATATACTTTTTAAATTTTGTAGCTCTGTTTTACAAAAGGAATTTTCACCAAGCGCCATGTCGACAAGAACAAATTTCAAACAGGAACTGATGAGGCAGCAAATGCAAGAAATAGAAAAGCATGAAAACAGACAGACTCGTACATCACCTATGTTATCTTCACCTGCTATAGACCTGCCAAAGCTGTCCACAATTCCAGAAGTTCCAACAAATGTTCTGAAGGTATGTATTTTGCACAAAAAAAGGCCAAAAAAAAAAATACTTCTGCTTCCGGTTACCCGACCGACCCTATATTTAGGCTGCGACCTTAAAAATTTTATCGGCAATTCCAAAAAAAATAATAATAATAATGATTGAATAAATATAAATAAAACCCGTTGTCTTTTCTGTCTTCACAAAATACCTCTCAACAACCCTTTTGCGTCAAAAATTTGCTTGTATTTATTTGTTTTCTTACTCACATTCGCTATTTTTTTCAAAAGAAACCTCCGTTATTTTTACTATTTTGCAATTTGATGTCACGTGCGTAAACCTAGCTCAATGCGGCAACAACTGGTTCCTGCTGCACCACGCAGGGGCCAATTTAGAAGACATGATGGAAATGCAGTAACTAGTGTGTGCACAGCTATGTGATCGATAGCGCTAGCATGGCTATGCATTGGGCACGTGCACTGTCAACTGGTCGGATTCGACATCGTAACAATGCCAAGAAAACACATGGAGAAAGAACATTTTTACAAGTTAATTCACAGAATTGATCGAGCTTGTCTGTGTATGACGCATTTTCCGTCTTCAAGAGTTCATTTTGAGATCGTTCTTCTTGTATTTGACGTGATACAGTGCAGCGTGTTTCCCGAAATTTTCGACTGTAAAAACGAGGTCTGTTGGCCGCGCGCCACAATGCACAGTGCATCACACACTTCGGAGTTTTGGCCAGCTCCCGTCTTGACTAGCGTTGTGCATATGGTGCGAACGACCTGAATTTTTCATTAGTTTTTACGAATTATCGAACGTATAAATATATTGACAATAATTATGGTATGTTTTATTCACTTTTTGTGGCCATTTTGTGTGTAGCTTTCGTAGTGCAATAGAAATAGTTCAGGCTAAAACTTCGCATATACATGTAATTGAGTACCCCATTCAATCTGCATAAAAAAAATTTGCAAAAAAAACAAAATCCGACCGACCGACCCTATTTTTAAAAGGCATGTAATCGGAAGCACAACTTTTTTTTTTCGGCCTAAGCTGATGTACATGATGTGTAATGTAATTATTATTGTCTGATAAGTGATTGGTTGAAAGTTCTGTTTTACTGTTTGACAATATACAACTTAACAATAAATTATAGTAAAAAAAATTCAATTTACTGAATAACATTATTTCAAGACAGTATCTCCTAGAATATAGAGACACACAATTAGACACCATAACCCCCAGTAAACAGGTTAAAAAAATCCCTTGGATAAGGCCATTTAATCGCAAAATGGTATTATTAATCTTAATATTATTTTTTATTGTAAGATACCTTGGGACATCCAAAAATGCTGCTCTTAAGTTGCACAGCCAGTACTTTTGCCTTCCAGCTCCCAAAAAACTGTTATTTTGGGACTCATTTTTTGAGAAACAGCTAAAATCATATTTTGGCAGAGATGAAACGTTTGAGATTTTAATCTGAAATCAGGTTTTTTTTTTAAAAACTTTTCCACTGAAATTTCAGGGTTTTTTTTTACAATACCACAAAAATAATTATTTTACAATTTTCCACTATTTTTTTTTCATTAGGCCCCTATAATTGCAGAGTTTTTTGCCAAGGCCAGTTTCATCTCTGTTTTGGGCCACTTCTCTCTCAAAAATGACCCCATTGTTACTTCTTACCATCCTAATAGGATGGTTAAACAAGAAAAAATATGGTTGGTCCCAAGTTTATCCGCATTCTTGTTCCCAAAGAGGTATGCTTCGAGGACACCCCCCCCCCCCCTAATCCTGTGACTTTGCCCTACTTTGGGACAGAAATGAGTTTGAAACTCATACTTATTCTTAAGATACACACTTTCTTTGTAATTAAAAGACTGCCTGAGACCACAGGCCTTAATCATTTAAATCGGCTGTATAGCGGGTGGCATAGCTAACCAATGCTGCATTTTATGATAACAATGCCAAATGTGCCACAGAAATGAGATATATTGGGGCATCGCAGCTATGGCCCTTGACGGCCGTAGGACCCATCATTTAAAAAGTGCTGAGTCCGCACTATTTTGTTATGCATTTTCTCAAGCAGTATGGAAGCCAAAATATTTTTCTGCCTTTTCTACATGCTTCGATGCAAAACAGGCATAAACAATGAATTTTCTATCAATACCTCATTGAAAAAAAAAAAATTAATAATGCGTACCAGCTGATGTCAGGCCTGGTGAAACCTGCAAGAACTGTAGGCCTACTATCCTGTAATATTTGATAGCAAATATTGTCACACTGACTTGTTTGAAGTTATGTACTCTTGGATGCTGGAAAAACGAAGAAAAACAATCATGTTCCTGAAGTCTGGTTCCCTGATCCTACCGGTACTTAAGATGAAACTGAGCAATGTATGGATGTTGGGGAATTGTAAGGTCAGGGAACCAGTCTAGCTGGCATTGCTCCCATTCATAGTTGAGTCTAAATTGATTGCAAAAAAAATGCACACTAACTAAATATGGTAAATTGGGGGCAGTATTGGAAGAAAAAGCATTTTCTCTAATGCTTGTCGGCCGACCAGCATTTGAAATTGATACAAAAATACCGATTTTTGACCAGTGCTTGAAATTGACAAAAAAATACCACTTTTCTTGAAAATGACAGCACAGGTGCCATGATTTTACAGTATGCATTAGACTGTCATTCATTAAGTATTCCATAATAATTTGGTAGCTTGAGTAATTCCAGCTCCAACTTTGTTCATCAGGAATTTCGACATACATACAAAGCTGGAGCGAAAACTATGTTGTGGATACCAAATGCTAAGAGGCCCTAAAAATGGGACTCTCTGTATCTCTATCACAAAAATGGTCCCTTTTCCCTCTATTAATCCCAACCCAGATTCCATTAAACATAATCAGGTACATGTATGTTTAATGGAATTTGGGTGGGTAAACTTGAAGGAAAAGGGACCATTTTTTGTGACACAGAGAGTCTTGTTTTTTAGGGCTTCTTAGAATCTAGGATTTACAACATAGTTTTAGCTCCATTTTGTGTCAAATTCCTGATGAGCATTGGAGCTTGCGTTTAATACTCAAGCTAATAATTTGGTAGTTTTGTTTTATTATATTGGCTAATGCTGTTTCATCCCTAAGTTTCATCCCAATCGGATTTGTACAAGTTTTCAAAGTATAAGGATTCGAAGATTGCACTTTTGGTAATGTATGATGTCACGTGACACATGATGACTTCATCGTGATAAAAATTTGGGGTCCAAGTGGCAAAGTGTACATGTAAGTATGCATGTACAGTCGACTCGTTATTACGAGGTTCTCTGGACTTTAGTAAATGTACCCGGTACTTGTATGTATGGGTAGGAAAAAGTGCACCAAACCTATGGAGAGGAGTCTGAAAAAAAGGGGGGAAAAAGAAAGAAAAAAAAAAGAAGGAAGTGTGGATGTCATGTACTTTCCAGACATCAACAATTTCAACGGTAGTGACAGGTGTCCTCAAAATGAAAAGGAACGGAACATACTGTACATGTAAGCCTTGGTAATAGTGGAACATGCAAGTAAGTACATGTACTACTGGTATGAGCAGTATGGGAATTTCTTAAAAATGAAAACACTGTACCAGTAAGTCAAACCATGTTCACTGAGTAAACTGTTGTTACAGAGAAATATAAAGACATCGTTGTACTGTCCTTGCTCTAAAAAGAGTTTTCTGCTGCCCTTGCTAGAAATGCTTCAGGGACAGGATATATATTTAAGGGTTGTGGTAATGCTAATAATAAGAATTTACAGACAGGAAGATGACATCATCCATATTCTAATTGCTCCCTCCTCAAACTGCATGTATACATGCTGTGCTAGTTGAGAAAGTGGTCACTCCGTCCCAAGATCGCACAGCGCTGGTAGCTTGTGTGGTCTGCTCTTAAACCTTCTTTACTTGTAAGTGGTTTTCAACGGCTGGTCCGTTCAAGTGAATTTAATTAAAAATGTATGGTGGAATAGCAGTTATGCTTCCATACTATGGACACCAGCCTCATCAACACCATCTCCATGCACACCATCACCCCTATCACCAGGTAAGAAACTACTTGTTTCCTAGAAATCTGATGATACCCCAATCAGCATACATAAGTACAGTTGTGGTTGCAAAATAAGAACCAATCGAGGGTTCATGTACTCACCCAAGAAATTTTGTGGACCTCAGAAGAATTTTGAGCGGTCAAGATTTAGGGGCCATTCAAAATGTTCTATGTTTTTAAATTTCGATTTTTGTTCCAAATTGTTTTGACCCACCCACCCACATAAACAATGACCTGCATGGAATTCTGTGTCACCGCCCAACTGACGATGCATCTTGTCAAGCGCTAGATTGCATGTTTACAATACGAGACCAAACTAGAAAACATTTGTGAAAAGTTGAATGTGTCAAGTACAGTATACAAATATAACATGGTTTGAGGGTGGACAGTCGATATTCGCTCCTCGAGGTATTGGAAGTTGACAAACTTGTTCCCGAGGCGAAGCCGAGGGAACTAGTTTGTCAACTTCCAATACCGAGGGGAGCGAATATCGGTTGTCCACCCGAAATAAACCATGTTATATTTGTTTTACTATACCTCATACCGGTACATATCACCAGTTCACCAAAAGAATCGTATTGCTCAACTTCACTAGTTCAGTTCATTTACAATGCAGTGCAGCTGTAAATACAAATGTAGTTTGTGTACAGCATTCTTTTGTACAGGAGACATCTTTATTGTCCATAAATATTTTCTAGTTCGGCATCATTGAGCTCGCTCGGGAAAATAACGCGCTGTGCAACCATCTATCTCATCGTGTGTAACTCGTTTGGGCGATGTTCGCGCGTGCGTACTACACCTGTCCGACAGTTCCACGATTCCTTTGTAAAGCGCATGCGTAGTAGACTGTCGCACGGGTAACCCATGCGACAGTCTACTACGCATGCGTATTTACCCTGTGCGTGAATCCTCGCGCGCGCTTGGTAATCAGCAAAAATAACATCTGGCACGTGAT